AAACATCACATTGTACCCCATAATTATTTGTCAATTAAACATTTTTACAAAAGAAATGTATGTGTATAAACACAACAAAGAAAGGATGAACATTAAAGTAATTCTCTCTTTTTTTTCCCACTAATCCTTTCACATTATAATTGCCAGATGAAATTACTGTCATCATATTTCTACACATCCTTACAGAAAATATTTTGGTACATGCAGGCCTACAGATACACACATGTAAAACTTATAAATAAAAGTGATATCATATTGTACAGACTGGTCTGAACCTATGTTTTTTAGCACAAGGAAATAAGTATTTCACTGAAAGAAATACAAATGGCAGGTAAACATGGAAAAAATGCTTAACATCACTCAGTTGAAGAAATGTAAATTAAACACTGAACTACAGTGTTTCATCAATCACATAGGCAGAGATGAAAAGTTTGGTAATACCCAGTCTTAAGGAAGAGAGAGAGAAAAAATTACGTTTATATCATATTTGGTGATAAACAGCTTGCAAACACAATTAGTTAGCCACTCTTCTCTATGGGGTTCGCCAAAAAGGAATATGATAAATAGGAAATTTTGTGATGCGACTGGCTGTTTGGGGAACATAATACTAATTATATGCATTATAATTGCTTGCAATGACTTTAGCAACAGTTTTTGGATGTTTAATTATCTGCATTTTCTCAACAGGATCAGATTCATGACTCTGGGTATCCTCTAAGAAATCTTTTCAGAATTTTGATGTTATTTTAATATAAAACTATATATAAAATAATATTTAGTGCATATACTTGGATTAATATAGCAAGTCTCATTGTAAAGTGCATCTGTGTAGCCACCTGAGAGAGGCAAAATTCTCTGCACAAATATCTGTCATGGGGTGTATGTCGTGTGTGTGTTAGAAAAAGAGGGAGATCATGGCACTGCACACCCTAAATCCATGTCAGTTGTCTAGCTGCCATAAACTTCTTTACAAATAACCTCAAATTCACAAACAAAGACATTTCCCTAAAATAGCCCCAAACTCATTGGTTTTCATTTATCTCTAGAGAGTGCAGGTGTTTTCAAAGACCTGGTCTTCTCTGATATGACAGCACTTTTCATCCTTTTTTTTTTTTTCCAGAAAGCAGGAAAAATATTGTTCTAAATCTGAGGAGTCAGCTCCTCATCTCTTTAGCTGGGCTTCAGCCTAGATAAGGCAGGATTCTAGGGTCCTGTGTTATTAATGTGCTGTCCATATGAATAACGAGCAAACCTTGTGAATTATTTCACACTTCTAGGAAAATCTATAGCCCTGTCTTTCTGCAACAACACTGGAAGCTGCTGAGGATACTTTCACATTTCTATGTGAAAGACCCTGATAACTTTATATACAGAAGTAATAAAACTTGTATCCCCTTCTGGGGCCTGTGTATGAACTTATACAGATGAGTAACATTTTTAAAAATTAATGATATATGTTTCTCCATCCTCTGAAGCTCCTTGAGTTTCTAAAAACCTACCCACCCCCAACACCAGTTCAAACAATAGGATATTAATTACCCATTGATACAGTTTTGCTATGTCCCCACCCAAATCTCATCTTGAATTGTAGCTCCCATAATTCCCACGTTATGGGAGGCACCCAGTGGGAGGTAACTGAATAATGGGAGCAGGTTTTCCCATGCTGTTCTTGTGATAGTGAGTAAGTCTCATGAGATATGATGGTTTTATATAAGGCAATTCCTCTGCTCATGCTGTCTTGCCTGCTGCCATGTAATTCGTGCCTTTGCTCCTCCTTTGCCTTTTGCCATGATTGTGAGGCCTCCCCTGTCATGTGGAACTGTGAATCCATTAAACATCTTTCCATTATACATTACCCAGTCTTGGGACACTACTTAGAGTAGCAGCCTAAAACTGGTAATTTTATTGGTTTGTAGTTGGAGTTCTTACTATGTGCCAGACCCTGTTTATTGAATTTATTACTTTATATTATCTGCATAAAAGCCTTATAAGATAGGTACTATTATTATCCCCACTTTACAAAGAAGGAACCTGAAGCCTTAGAGAAGTTATTTCGTTTCTTCCAGGACATGGTAGGCATAGATGTGTGGTCCCAAGTGGGAACTGCTGGAAATAATGGGCAGAAGACAGAATCAGAAGCAAGGGTAGGAAAGATTCAGAGTGCTTCTTATATTTGCTCCCTAGGAGAACAATAACACCATTGAGCCACACTAGCCTCTTGCTTAAGCACTCCCTCCAACATACACACCATCATCAATCATGTTCCATATATTTACATTCCAAATCCATCCATTTCTCCTCATTCCCTAATTTCAAGACTGCCATTATCTTGTCTCATCTCTCAACCCTAGTTAATCTCTCTGATAAAAATGCATTCTCGGCCAGGCGCGGTGGCTCATGCCTGTAATCTCAGCACTTTGGGAGGCTGAGGCGGGTGGATCACGAGGTCAAGAGATCGAGACCATCCTGGTCAAAATGGTGAAACCCCGTCTCTACTAAAAATACAAAAAATTAGCTGGGCATGGTGGCACGTGCCTGTAATCCCAGCTACTCAGGAGGCTGAGGCAGGAGAATTGCCTGAACCCAGGAGGCGGAGGTTGCGGTGAGCCGAGACGGTGCCATTGCACTCCAGCCTGGGTAACAAGAGCGAAACTCCGTCTCAAAAAAAAAAAAAAATGCATTCTCAATACCCCTTCTTCATTCCATCTGACTCTTCATTACTCAACTTGAATCATCAGTTTCAGAGGTCCTTCCTCAAGCCTCTATGCCCAAAATTAACAATGCCCTCCTCTAGGTCCTTGGAGCAGCCTGTATAACATTTCTCATAACTCACTGTGATGTACTATAATCTTCGTTGACTTGTAATCTCCTCTGCTAGACAGACTCATTCACTCATTCATTCAGCAATTACTTTTGGAGCATTTACTATGTGCCAGGAATTATCCCAAATACTTAATCTCATAATGCTGAACAAAGACAGCCCCTTGATCTCATGAAAACTACAGTCCAGCAGGAGAAATAGACCATGATCTAATCATACCTAAACATATACAAGTGAACCACCCATTTAGAAGGTAAAGAATTCTGTCCTTGAAGAGGATGCAATAACAAGGAATGTAAAGGAGGTTGGGGAGGTAAGAAGACTTCTGTGAAGACATGACAGGAAACTTGAAATGTAGGTACAGCTCCAGCTAGTGGGTGAGCAGCATTGCAGGCATAGAAGACAGCATGCATAAAAGCCGTAATATTTGGTTGTTGCTGTTGTTGTGTTTTGTTTTGTTTTTGGAGATGGAGTCTCACTCTGTCACCAGGCTGGAGTGCAGTGGCACTATCTCAGCTAACTGCAACTTCTGCCTCCTGGGTTCAAGTGATTCTCCTGCCTCAGTCTCCCGAGTAGCTGGGATTACAGGTGCATGACACTACACCCAGCCAGTTTTTGTATTTTTAGTAGAGACAGGGTTTCACCATGTTGGCCAGAATGATCTCGATCTCTTGACCTCATGACCCTCCCCTCTCTGCCTCCCAAAGTACTGGGATTATAGGTGTGAGCCACTGCACCTGGCCAAAGCCATTCATTTTGATAAAAAATTTGAGAGAAAGCCATGGTGGTGGAAACCCACAGAACAATGAAATTATGTGAGACAGAGGCTGGTGGGTTAGATAGGGCCAAACAATAAGTAACAATAAGCGGTGTAATAATTAAGCTGTGTGTCTCTGTTACTTAATATACTTCTTAAAACTAAGTCATACTAATCATATATTTAGAGGGGACAATAAAGGGATCTGCAGTGGGTAAGTGTGAAAATGAGTCAACTTAGAATTTTGTGAGTGAGGAGACAGCATTGAGAACCCTCTACAGAGACAAAAATCTCCTGTGAAGTGTCTGACAACACATTTCAAAACCTCTATACTAACACTTCAGACAATGCCAAAGCAAAGCAAGCCAAATTGTCTTTTTGATATCACCAGCCTCCATACGTGCTGTTACCCACACAGGGTTGCTGTCACCTGAATGTCTCACTTCACTCTCTGCTCCCAACTGCTCACACTTCTACAACGAGTCCTTGCAACCAAACACACAGAGTAAACAAACAAAATCTTCGGACAGAAATTTTAGATCACTGCTATTTTCAATTCTGCTTACTGTCTTTAGATACTGTGTTAACTAGAAGATACTTTACACAGAGAAGGGCATCTGGATAAAGGGCTTCTCACTTGGGGTTGATTTTAATGTGGTGGATAATTACAGGCTCGTGTCAATTCATTTTTCTGCTGACTGGCACTTATCTTCTTCAACTTCAACTTATTTCTTTATGAATTGACAATGCCATATTCTATGTAGCTCCCTCCCTAACCCCCACAAAAGCCTCTATAACACCAAAGGATGCTTGACCAACTACCCCTGAAATCTGGGGTACTATAGTGTCGAAAAATTTAAATAAAGGTGTTATAAGTCTATTTTTTAAGAAAGAGATGATAGAGAAATGGCTGTTTCTCACAATACCAAGTCCCGCTCCCTTTAAAATCTTCAAGCACATAAGTTTGAGAAACAATGAAATAAAACCACATTTGTACCCATAGAAATTGTCTATTGCCCATAGCAACTCTTATGCAAAAATTATAATAATAACTATAGGAACCGAGAGTTGCTGAGCACTGACTTTGTGTCAGGTGTCCTACTGAAAATGCTACCAACATTATGATACCTAATCTATAACAATGCATGAGGTAGGTACTATTGTTTTATCCCCATTTTAATGGTAAGGAAACTGGGGCTCAGGATGAGAAGGGGCTTACCCAAGGTCACATAGCTACCAGGTTGTAGAGTCTAGATTCAACCTCAGCAATCTGATAGTATTACTCACCAAAGTTACTAAGATTGCATTCATTCTCAAATAGACCAATGGAAATGTATTACAGTAATATAGAATCACTGCAGCTGGGAATAGACAGAGGCCTGAATTTCCACCTTAATTCTGCCACTGATTAGTCACATGTCCTTAAATGTATTGTCCTCTTGGAACCACATTCTCTTTATTTGTAAAAAGTAACTGAAAAAAATATAGCATCCGAGTTGAGGGAAATACTAAATAAGAAAATTCATATAAACTACAAATATGTAATCTGATCTCCACGCATATTGTGAGCCCTCAATTGTATTAGCAATAATGTACTCAGAAAATATATTAAATTTATATTTTCATTAATGAGTACATTTCTAGAGCTTGAGATAAGAAACCATGAGCTGGAACTGCAATTTTGATTGTAATGCCTGTACTTGTGTACCTTTTTCTTATTTGATTACCTCCAACCATAAAACAAGGCTTTCAAGCCTCCAGAAATGTGTGCAGAGAAACCAAAAGAAGCTGGTCATGACATGGAAGTCTGTATACCATCAGGCATGAAAAGAGAAGACAAGGCGAATGTGACATGCGAATTTTTATTCAGAAGTGAAGATATTGAGGACATCTTTTTTTTTTGACAGATAAACAGTTTTTTTATTCCTCCTCCTCCTCCTCCGCCTCCTCCTCCTCCTCCTCCTCCTCCTCCTCCTCCTCCTCCTCCTCCTCCTCCTCCTCCTCTTCCTCCTCGTCGTCTTCATCTTCCTCTTCCACATTTTTCCAGGCAACTTTAGCAGGACCCTTTGCACCATCAAACTTTCCCTTCGACTTATAGTCAGCAACATCCTTCTCATACTTCTCCTTCAGCTTTGCCACCTTAGTGATGTAAGGCTGATTTTCGCTGTCATTTAGGTTATTCCACATCTCACCCAGCTTTTTTGCCACATCTCCAATAGAGATGCCAGGGTTTGTGGATTTGATCTTGGGGCGGAATTCTGAGCAGAACAGGAAGAAGCCAGACGGCGGCCTTTTGGGGGCATTAGGATCCTTCTTCTTCTTGCCTCCCTTAGCTGGTCCATAATCCTTCATTTCCCGATCATAGCGCACTTTATCCGCCTTTGCCTTTTCATCAAATTTAGATTTCTCTTTCCCGGACATTGTCTTCCACCTCTCAGAGCATTTCTTGGAAAATTCTGCAAAATTGACAGGGACCTCTGGGTTTTTCTTCTTATGTTCTTCTCTGCACGTCTGCACAAAGAAGGCATAAGCAGACATCTTGCCCTTTGATTTCTTGGGGTCACCTTTAGCCATCCTGACTGTATTGTTTGCTAGTCTTGAGGACATCTTCTAATCCCAGTCCTAGTAAGAGAAGACACTCATTTTCCGAGCTTCTGTTGGTACTCACAGCATCTCTGGAAATTAAATCTCTGTATGCGTGTTGGAATTCAAAAAGGAATTAGGGGTGTGCATTTCATTGAAGATGGGGTGCATTAGGTACATTCAGTTCTAAAATGAACTAGGAGTTCCTTTTTTCCAAGCTCCTGTTGGTATTCATAGCATCTCTGGAAATTAAATCCATCTATGCATGATGGAATTCAAAAAGAAACTAGGAGTGTGCATTTCACTGAAGATGGGATACATTAGATACAGATGGACCTACTTGTGACTTCTGGTTTTCTCTTAGCCCTCACTCAAAAGCTGCCTTTGTCTTCGCATTATAGAGACTTCCTAGGTTACTTTTTTAATTCTCATGGCTTCAGAGACCCAAATAGTTTCCAAGTCTATGCATCTAGCCTAATCCATTCTTCCAAAGTCTAGGCCATTTTGTTCAGGTAGTTATTAGACATCTCCATTTGGATTTCTCAAAGACACCTCAAGTTTAATGTGCTCAAAATGAAGCACGCATTTCCCCCAGTCTGCTTACCTGAGCATGGTTTCAGCATTACTCAATATTATTTGCATTTACTCTTTATCCAAGCCAGCCTCTTGGAAAACATCTTTGCCTTTCTTCATTCCTCATGGCCCATGTCCATTTTGTCCTCATACCTTCTTAATTCCTTTGCCTAATTTTCTCTCATCTTTTCCTTCTTTCATTCTCCATTTCTATCCAATAACCAAGCTCAAGCCATTGTCACATTTTCACCTTAATTACTGAAGGATCTTCTTTCTTATTGCCTAAAGTCTTTATCATACACAGCCTCCAAAAACAAACCTAAGTCCTCCTGATGTAGGCTACTGTACATCTTGTTCTTCCCCTTTTGGAACATAAATTCCCACTTTAAATTACATTCTAATACTATCTTTACTTCTGTAAAACAGATGCTTTATGAAAGCAAAATTCGTAAAGGTCTTATTCACAGCTGTATTAGCACAATGCCTGATACAGATCCTCAAATAATTCATGCCTTTTATATTTGAGTAGGACAAGATGAAATCAAAGATGGATTTATATTCCAATTCCAGCTGTACTGTGATCCTAAGTTTGAATTCCCAAATCTGAAAACAGAAATTACAAGAACTTAACTTCACAATGTAATTATGAGAATTATTTAAGAAAATGTATGTAGAGCACTTAGCACAGAATTAGTTCTCAATAACTATTCTAACAATTGAAAGGACTGATATAAGATAAAGATTTGGTGGGCAGTCTCTCAGACTCTACTGTTAAACTGTGTAAATGAAGACAGCACAGGAACAATTCCCAGATTTGCACTTGAGTGTTGTTTATGTGTAACAGGACATTCTTTTGTCCTGAGTATATCAGAGACTCAATTGAACTATCGACACTAAGTTTTCTGTAAAAGAAAATCAGAGACAAGTTGAAGTCCTTGTACTTGGTGGGACCAGTCAAAAGCCAGATGTCTTTAATGTTATAGAGGCTACAATAATCTCTATCAACAAAACTGAATTGGCAACTCTTTTTTTTATTTTTTTTTTATTTTTGAGACAGAATCTCGCTCTGTCACCAGGCTGGAGTGCAGTCGTGGGATCTTGGCTCACTGCAACCTCTGCCTTCCGGGTTCAAGCAATTCTCCTGCCTCAGTTTCCTGAGTAGCTGGGACTACAGGTGCATGCCACCACGCCGAGCTAATTTTTGTATTTTTAGTAGAGAAGGGTTTTCACCATGTTAGCTAGGATGGTGTCAATCTCTTGATATAGTAATCTGCCCACCTCAGCCTCCCAAAGTGCTGGGATTACAGGCGTGAGCCACTGCACCCAGGTGGCAATGAACTCTTTTGAGCATTTGTGTCATCTGAAATCAGTAAACTTAAGTTTTTATGTTGTTTTACTTTTGAGTTGCTGGTGTTACGTGAAGTGGTAACTTGGGATGGCTATGGACTAAGTTAGTTTTTGCAGCAAAAAAGGACTGTTCTGAAAAAGGCTCATCCATTTCCTCTGTACTTCTATCTAAATAAAACCTCTTCTAGCTTGTTACAAGCAATAGAAGAAAATGTAAATATTTTCCTGGCTGCTATTTACCAGAAACTGAATATAAACAGATTCAACCATAGAACCTTGTCAGATACTACACTTAAGATGTTGGTTTTACAGTACATTGAAGAGCTTTTTCCCCTTCTTTGTGTTCATGTGCTGTGAATTTTTTCTTCCATTTTGATACAAAAAAAAGAAGGCTTAAAGCAGAAATTTGTTCTATCTGTGACTGTTTCTAATGTTCCAGGAGGGAAAAAACACATATACGATGAATTTACACAGAACTTTTGACCAAAGGTAGAATTATTCAATATACTAAATGATTATTCAGATGGGGAAACACTACAAATGGCTTTGCCAGCCTGCTGACTGACAGATTTTTACTATACATTTCAGAATTAACATCATTTGTCTAAAACTTGTCATTTATGAGGACTTCATTGTGCATTGTCTGTGGCATTCAAGAGAAATATGTCTAATAATATGTCCTGTGTAAACCAACAATGATACATAAAAGGCCCAAGAAAATGCCAAATCAGAAAATTCATTCTGTAAATACTTACCCTCGTTAATACTGAGCATCAGGTAGAGTGACCAATAGGATATGATTTCTGCTTTGATGATTATGAAGCTCTGGGGAGATGACAGGTAAATTGGTGATTGCAAAGTTGTGTGATGTGTGCTGTGATGAAGATGAGCCCAGAGTGCTCTGAGAGCAGAGGTTAAGGTGCAAAATGATTGCAAGTAGGAGGGTGTTCTAGATGGCTTCTCATCAGAACTAACATCCAGACTGGGACTCTAGGTTACTGGGTAAGAGGAAAGGATCAAATGTCCATGGTAGAAACAACAGCATATGCAAAAGCCATCATCAAAAAGGATACGGATAAATCCAAGGAGCTGCAAGAAGTTCAATGTGCCTGAGTAAAGAAGAGTTTGGGATGGGTCTGGAAAGAAGTGAAACTGGAAATCTCATTAGGAATGAACCTATGCAGCCGCCTGGTAGCCATGGTGGACACTGAAACTTCCCAAGAGCAATGGAAGCAGGCACTAACGGGTTTCATGTTAATAAATGACATAGTTAGATTTGTGTTGGATATATCAGTACATAGCTCAGGAATTAAACTGTTTCTAGTATAATTGCTGTTCATTGTACTTAGAACCCAGATTTCTAGCCCATACGGAGAACAAACCCAAGAAATGCCACAAAGGATACAAGTCCATTCTGATTTTTAGGTCAATGCTCTGATATTTAGGGTAACAAAGTTATATAACAGTTTTGCTGGCAAAAACTAGGGTGCAGATTATGGAAAAAGTAGTATCTCCCGTAGGAAATCTTGGCATCTTAGCAACATGACTGTGAATGCATGCTTTTGGTTTTACATCAAGGATCATTATGGCAAAGAGAGTATTCATTTTACTTGTGGAGAAAAAGTAAGAAGGACTGACATTAACATATCTTAACCATGTAAAAAGGAGGCCCTTCATGTCAGGGAAATTGAAGAGTACGATTAATCTCCTGCCAGGCCGCATGTTGGAATCACCTAGGGAGGCTCTTTAAAATAGCAATGCTTTGGCCACACCCCTAGATATTTTTACTTGATTGAGCTGAAGCAAGGCCTGGGCATTTGCGTTTTTAAAACGTTCCGATGAGGGATACTAAAAGATAACCAGAGTTGAGAACCAAAGCTGTAATAGTTAAGAGCATGAGCTGGGAAATAAGACAGAGTGAATTGAAATTCTGGCTCTTGCTGAAAACAAAATTACTTCTGTTCTTTTAATTTCTATTTTATAAACATCCCATAAGGCATTAAAGGTAACATATGGATATTCCCAACACATTTAGATAAAGTGTAATATAGACATGAAAGGAATTCAGTTCTTATCCCCTGCTGTTAGGTTCTTCATCTGTAAGGGAGGCATAGTAATAGTATCTACCTTATATGATCTATGCAAGCTTTAAACATGGTAATAAATAAAAAGATTTATAAATACCTGGCATATAAGTGTCTGATAGATGTAAGCTATTGTTCTTAACTCAGGTAAAGTTAATAGGAGAAACATGATAGAGAGGAGAGAAATCACAAAGCATGTTTCAAAGACACCAATTCGTTTGGCTGAGGCCTCAGGGAGTAATAGGGAAAAAATTTACAAAGTCAAGTTGAAGCCAAATTGCTTTCTTGAGCTCCAGGCTAATGTTGAAATTTGAGCAAGTGTTCATTAATTGGTCATCTAATAATGTAGTCCCCAAGCAGGTGAGACCAGCAGGTGTATATTGTACAAAATAGAATAAATTTAAGGATTGCTCAGAGTCCATTCCAAAACTTGGGTCTGGTTTGAATTTAACCCAAATGTGGAACCAACAGATGTCTCTGTGGAAAATTGTGATTAAATCAGCACAGAGCTTCACAAATGAACAGAGTCACTGGATACGAATAACCCCTGGCACTCAGGGAGGCAGATTCCTTTCCTGGTGACACCTTGGCTCTTGTTAGCAGATACAGCCAACCCCCCTTCTGTTGTCCAGATTTTGCCCACTTTATTAGAAAACTAAATAGTGCTGAAAACTGTTTCTGTTCTTTCCTTTCTTATTTATAAATATTTTATAAAAGAGCAAATGTAACTTGCATGGATGAATCCCACACAGCAATGTAAACATAAAATGTAACATAGACATGAAAGAAGTAAGATCGGTGAAATGAGGGTAGGAAGTTTAAGCGAAAGCCGGGAGGGAACTGGGAGAAGGTCACAGAAGCCTATAAATATGCCAGCAATGCGTCGCAAATTTGGCCAAAAGCCTTCTAAGGGGCAATGCAAAGAGAGAAACAAGATTGGTTACAAGATTTAGAATGTTCCCAGCTTAATCCAGGCTGTTGCTTAGGAGAGAAACAGCTATTCTT